GTTTTATTCATTTTGCTCGTAAACTAGTCAAGTTTCGAAGGTTAAGAAGATTGAGGAAACAAAGAGAAGGTCAGAAATAAGTTATGATTAACCATTAATCAATTGTTAATTTATTAATTTGTTATTAGATTGTTAATTGAGTAGGCTATAATTTATGAGACCGTTTATGATTAGGTTGAGCATGAATTATAAATAACCATTAATATAATAGGTTTGAGTACCTTTTGAACAACCTAAGGCTAATTGTACTCTCTCAATAATAGAACTCATTTACATTTTGTTGTTGTTTGGTAAACAAAATCCTTCATTCGTAATAAAATCACAGCCGCCCATTCGCCGCTGTACATCCAACATCCAGCTACTAATGGCACCTTTTTTTAAACAATATATATATATATAGTCGTGTAAATTGTGTTTATAATTTTTTGAAAGAAAATTATTATTATAATTAATTATGAAGGGTGATTGAATTTGTATTGGATATCAGTGGATAAAAAAAAAATAATAGATGAGAGCTTCACCCGCATATACACACTTAATATGAATTTTAAAAAAAAATACAGTCGTTCAATTTTTTGTATAAATAGTATTTTAATAACCCCATATTATTTTTATGATTTTAAGATAATAATGCAAGTTTAATTTTTTTCCGATCTCATTACTTTTGAAAGTTTGATCAAGGAAGACCTATACCAACCTTGTTATATTTCAATAATTTTATAATGAAAAATCTTAAGTTTACATATGAATTTTGATAGAGATTAATTTTATAATGTAATTTTAATTTTTTCCAACTCAATAAGTGTGTTATTTTAAAAATATTATATTAGGTTACGAATTTTGATTTATTTGAATTTATCAGTTTAATTATTGATTTCCATTTATTATCGTTAGTTTAGAGATTTAAAGTATTTATTATAAAATATTTAAATTTTAAAAAATATAAAATATTTATAAATAATAATTTAATTTTTTTATTAATCTGAATAAGTACAAGACAATATATATTCAAAGATAAATCGCAATCATTTAACATTGAACACTCGTACTCCTAACATTCCTGACGCTGAAACTCAATACCTTAACGAATTACAATAATTTCTTTATCATCAGGGTCATTTAATTCTACATAATTTAGTTATACAAATGCAAAAAATACTTTTTTTTTTGAAAAATGCAATGTTTGTATCGAGTTTGAGTATACTATGCGTAAATGTGGCGAGATATTAAGTTGGAGTTCATTATGGGTAAATATTACCAATTCAAACTATAATTTAATTCAAGTCTCATTATATGAGTGTGGATGTCAGTACGGGTGGGAGGAATTTTTATCACTATTTCCACATGTAACTCATTACAAGTAAAATATTTAAAATCTTCGCCACCTCATGACGTGTAATACTAAAATTATCTTCACTTAATAGAGTTAAATGTTTGATAAGTTGAGTTAAATTGAAAAAAATAATTTTCAATAAGTTTTGATTTTATATTTCAAATTTGATTTGAATTTTTTTGAATCAAGTTGAATTGTTCGAGTTTCTAATTTAATTATAAATATTTATAATATTATGATACAATTCTAGTTCAATTTAAACAGTTTTCTATAACCATATACAATATATATATATATATATATATATTCATATGTGATATGCATATATCATGTAAAGTCGAGAGATTTGACTCAATCTTAAAAATTAATATATTAATTATTAAAAATTTCGAGTTATTTGAGTTACTATTTAAAATATTTGAGTTTTTTTTATGATTCAAATTGAATTTAAATTTTTTTAATTGATATTATAAAATTATAACTCAAAATTAATTCAGTTAAGTTTTTTCGAACCCAATCAAAAAGATAAAATTTTCACCCTACTTTACCATCCACATGGTTCTAAGACCTGTCTAATCTCCATTATACTCGTTTGTGACTCACTCATATAACTATTTTTCATCTATTTGTTTAATTGTATAGTACACTTCTAATGGAAAAGATTATAATTAACATAAAAACTATAAGAAAATACGTTTTATTAAATTAAATTAAATGAAAATAAAATTAATTTATACAAAAAAAGATTCACATACACTTTCTTGAAATTTGTGAATTTTTAAATCCTTGAAATGAAAAGGACATATATTATTTTAAAATATCTAAACCTTATATGATCACATGATTTGTAATCAATTTCTCGATTTAGTGGGAGTGTGAGTTGTTAAAGATGATAATATTTTTTATAAAAAATATTTGGGGACCTTTTATTAAATAAATTCTTCTTAAAGAGCTCTTGAGATTGTACACTTTATACAATATTTTCATAAAATTTATTGAAAAAGTACTTAATCAATAGATCTTAAATATGGGGGACGACTCACTCTATCTTAAATATTAATAAGGTAAAATGAGCAGTTTAGTCGTTGTGGCTCTTAAATTTTCAATAAATCCTTTTTGACCGTGACTTTTATCTTTATTTTGAATATTTTGCCATTCTCTGTCATGTTATTAAAACAATTTAATATGTTAGAAGTTGTTAAAAAAGTTGATATCAACGTTTTACCAAATATTCATCCAAAAAAAAAAACGTTTTACCAAAGGTAAATCAAACTATCTTTTGTTTTTTCAAAAGTTTTTGATGATGTGTTAGAAAATGACAAAACAACTGTTGTCAAGATTTCTATAAAGATAAAATAGGGTTATTGTTCTTTTACTTCTGCGTCAAATTGACAAATAAAATAGAAGTTTGAGGGCCAACGTGAACATAATAATGTGGTGTTTGTTTTTGCAGAGATAAAAGGTCTTTCGTCTACGGATCAAATCTGCATACATCTACAGCAGAAGATGTGGACAAAAAATCTGCAGTCTGCAAGAATAATATTGGTTGTTTTTTAACGTCTGCAGACTGCTAAAATAAACTGAAATATAAATAAACTGATTTTTTAAACTTAAAAGAGTTTTGCAATACTAAAATTTAAATACTTTTAGTTATATAATAATAAAATTTAAATAATCCATACAACTACAATAATAATTTTTTTTAAAATAAATCAATCTATATTTTAAAATAAATCAATCCATATTTTAAAATAAATCAATCCATATTTTAAAATAAATCAAGCTATATTTTAAAATAAATCAATACATATTTTAAAATAAATCAATCTATATTTTTAAATAAATCAATCCATATTTTAAAATAAATCAATACATATTTTAAAATAAATTTTTTCATATTTTAAAATAGATTTAAATAATTTTAATTTCTTTGAAGAGGTTTGAAGACCTTTGAAGACATAAAATTATGTCTGCACCAAGAAGACCTCGCACAGACGTTAGAAAATTTCTGTCTTCTAAAAATCAAACGGTCTGCGAAGCCCAATGTCTGCGCGTGGTTTGGGCGGCGTAGACATAAGAACTTTGTAGACCTTACACAATAAAAACAAACACAGACTAAAACTTTAAGTGATAAAATGCTAAGGTGTCAAAAAGGTATTTTGCCTAATATCAACACATTAAATTAGGTTCATTATACAAATTGGTATATAAACTTGGGGAATACTTTAAATTGGTACTTAAACTATTTTTTAGTATAAGATTGGTACATGAGCCTAAAAAAATTCTCAAAATGGTATATATGTTGGGTTGACATCTCAATAACCAATCAAGTAATTGATGTAGTATTGACCGATCAAAATAATGACATCTCAATAACCAATCAAGTAATTGATGTAGTATTGAAGTCGGATGGGGCGAGTAGGAGTTCAACAGAATGGGCAGCTTGTGGTGGGGTTATTCGTAACCATCTCGGCACTTGGGTTGCAGGTTTTTCGAAGCGTATTGGGTTTTGTACTCTGTTAGATGCTGAATTATGGGGCAGTTACATCGGACTTTAAATGGCTTGGGAAAAGAATATTCGTAAGCTTATAGTCGAAACCGATAATACGGAAGCGATTGCTATCCTTCATCGGGAGCCAGGAGCAGGAACTACATCAGAGATGGTGCCGCACGTTCAGGCGATTGTAAAACGAGAACGGTGTCTTTGTTTCCGCTATGTTCCCAGGTAAGGGAACTGTGTAGCTGATGGCTTGGCAAGCATGGCCTGGGGCAATCCTGATGACTTAAAAATATACGTTGAAGTTCCAGTTGAAATACAGAAACAAGTGAATAGAGATGCTGTTCATAGCACAGATTTGTAATGGGTAGTTGTTTTTTCTTTCCTATTAAAAAAAATAAAAATTATCGAACCATCCATTGATTTAATTGATACTGAAAAATCAGAACACGTGAAAAACTCATTGTTAATTCTTCGTCAAACTTTGCACACTGCACTATGGGGTCAAAGGGTAAAGTACATCAATAGTCCCTAAACTATTGCTGTCTGATTATTTTAGCAAACAAAAAATTAAAATTACAAAAATAACCAATAAAATTATCAAAATATTACATGATGATCGTTTTATTATTACCTACCGATAGAGAAATGACATGAAATAATAACTTAATGGTTAATATCTCATACGCACCCAACAATCTTGGTAGTAAATGAATTGTGTTATTTCTTGAGGTTCTAAATTCGAACACCAGGAATATCATAAATGTGAGCGTTTAATGTTAAATTATTAGGAGTTCTTTGAACATATACTGTCTTGTACTTACCATAAATTATATCTCATTTAAACCTTCTATTGTTATTAAAAAATTATTTTAGTTTTAATACTTATTCAACAATTTTAAATAATAAATTAATAAACATCTAAAATTAAAAAAAATTAGTAGTTTGAGCAATACGTGTTTATAAGTTTTTAATCATTGCAACACACAATCTGTAAATGTAATTATTCGAATTTAGTAACTTGTGATATTAATAGTTAAAATAAATATCATTTTAATTTAACATTTTAGATTCGAATAACTGCATTAGTAGGTTAAAGGATCCAATTTCAGCATGACGACAAAGGGTTCAACACTATTGAATTCACTATAAATCCCATACATTATTTCATCATCTTCACACAGCCAAATCAAGCTAGTCAGCAATGGCTTCCACTGTGAATTCCCCATCAACCCCTATTACTCTTCCCAAGATTTCATCCATTCAAACTCCATTCCTTCCCAAAACATCTCAGCTTTCCATATTCAAGAAGAAGAAGCCTTTCAACTTTGTCTCCAAGAAAGTAGTGTCCTGCAAAGCCAGCAATGAACAGTCTTCTTCTCCCAACAGGAGGGATGTGCTTCTCGGCCTAGGTGGTCTCTATGGTGCTACCAACCTTGTGAGCGACCCATTTGCATTGGCAGCCCCAGTAGCCGCACCCGACCTTTCTCTCTGTGAGAAATCGACTGTAACATCCAAGAGCGCTGGAACCATTAAAGTCGCTTGCTGCCCTCCAAAATCAACAAATATCATAGATTTCAAACCACCAAAGTTTAGCAAGATACGGTACAGACCGGCGGCACATATAGTTGATTCTGAGTACTTGGATAAGTTTAAGGAGGCCATGGAGAAGATGAAAGCTCTTCCCGAGGATGATCCTCGTAATTTCATGCAACAAGCCAATGTTCATTGTGCTTACTGCAATGGGGGTTACGATAATGGAGACCAAAATCAAGAGCTTCAAATTCACTTCTCATGGCTCTTTTACCCTTTCCATAGGTGGTATCTCTATTTCTACGAGAGAATATTGGGGAAGATGATTGATGATCCGAATTTCGCCATGCCATTTTGGAACTGGGATTCTCCCCGTGGCATGGTTATCCCAGAGATGTATGTAGATCCTAACTCTCCGCTCTACGATGAGAAGCGCAACGAGAACCACCAGCCGCCCAAAATGCTCGATCTTGATTACGCCGGCACCGAGGAAGAATTATCAAAGAGGGATCTGATAAAGAGTAATCTAAGTGTGATGTATAGGCAAATGGTATCGAACAAGACCGCTTCTCTATTCCATGGACAACCGTACCGTACTGGCGATAAACCAAGTCCGGGAATGGGTGCCATCGAGAACAACCCTCACACCGCCGTTCATCGGTGGGTTGGCGACAAGAAGCAACCGTATTCAGAAGATATGGGGAACTTTTATTCTGCTGGTAGAGACCCCCTGTTCTACGCTCATCATTCCAATGTTGATCGAATGTGGAACATTTGGAAGTCTTTACCAGGGAAGAAACCAGGGAAGAAACGGACCGATTTTGCCGACACGGATTGGCTCGATTCCTCGTTCCTTTTCTACGACGAGAATGCTAATCTGAATCGAGTCAAGGTTCGTGATGCACTAGACACAAGGAATTTGGGGTACGATTATCAAAGAGTTGATATTCCATGGCTTAAAAACAAGCCAACCCCTCGGAGGCCCGGTAAGGGTCGAGGCCAAGGTCATGGTCGTGGTCAAGCAGTGGCGGCCGAGACGAAAGCTGCATCCGTTATCCGCAATGCTTTCCCTATAGTTTTAGACAAGGTGGTGCGCATTGAAGTTCCAAGGCCAAAGAAATCAAGGACTAAGCATGAAAAGGAAGATGAAGAAGAAGTTTTGGTTCTACAAAACATTCAGGTAGACCGAGACATAGCTGTGAAATTCGATGTGTACATCAACGACGAAGACGACGAGACACCCACCGAACCGGAAGATTCGGAGTTTGCCGGGAGCTTTACGAATATACCGCATAACCATCACAAGCCGGGTGTGAAGCTTGACACTAACTTGACGCTGCCATTATCAGATTTGTTGGAGGATTTGGATGTTGAAGGGGATGACAATATTGAGGTGACTTTGGTGCCTAAAGAAGGGAAGGGTCTTGTTTCGATTGGTAACATTAAGATCGACTACATCCAAGACTAGTGATCAATTAATCTGTTGACTCTTCCAATGCTTTGATGGGGTTAATGGACGACATCTTTAGTGTTTCCGATCGGATTGATGGGTACATCTATTTGTTTTTCATGTTTTATGTACGTGTCTTTTTGTGTTATTAATAAGGTCATCACGTCTACGACCATAGAATCCTTTGTATGAAATGTTCTTTAACAAAGGAAAGCTTCTTGTATTTTATGTTTGAGATAATGGACAGGATCTGTTTTTCGTGTCCACTTGTGATAAAATAATCTAAAAGTTTATTTTTATTTTTTTAAAAACTTATTCCATTTATTAATAGATTAATTTAAAGAAGAATGCTCACCATTCCCGTTATTGATTTTTAAATCCGATTATTTTAATCTTTGATTAATCATGATCACAAATTGTCTTTAAAGTGGGGGTTTCAGAACTTTTCTTTTGAAAATGTGATTTTGTACTTTTTTCTTCTTCAATTCTACCTAAACATAAAAGGTTGATTACTACTTCAAATTTTATAAAGCCATTTTTTTAAAATCCTAAAATAATTCAAGAATTCCAAAGCTTAAGATCACGATGATGCTACGAAGATATTATGATGTCTAGGGGTTGCGAAATGGAGCAGGAAACAAAATCGAATTAATATTTATTATGTTTGAAGCATTGGTGGACACCCGATAATATTTAAAATTCTATTAATATTATTGATAAGAATAAATTACGATAAAATGACATTATCCAACACTAACTTCGACTAATTTATTAAAATCTCTAATAAAAGCTTTGCTAAGTTTTTTCCCCTTACTCCTGTTTTTTACTCACTTTCACTCGTATTACATATGACAAACTAAAACTAAATACACATTATAGCCATGTTGAACCGCCTTTATTTGTTTCATCAATTGCCGTGATTTTCCAAACTTTTCATGTTTGCCGTGTGAATTCCTTGTCTCAGTAAAACTCTTAGCTGCTCCCCACTCATCATTTCAACATTGATATATTCTCATTCTTTTAACATGTACTAGCTGCTGCCACCACATATTATTTTCCACCTGTTGCATAACTCCCTTAATTGATAAGTAATTTACAAATTGCTTCCAAACCATCAATTAACTAATAGATAATAGGGTAAATTACAAGTTTTTTTTTGGATAATCAATTTTTTTATTACCCAAGAACAGAACCTGCTACAAAAATAAGTGTTCAAGAAGCATCAGGAACAGATACATACAAAAAATCAAAGTCAAAAAATGTCCCAATACTTACAAAGATTAGTATTAACACTTTCAATGCTATTTAAATTTCTACCCCTAAGTTGTGATCCGACAGTGTCCTTTATGGCTCGAAGCAAATCAGACGCAACTCTTGATCGGCCTTGAAACAGTTTCTTGTTCCTTTCTTCACAAATAAAGTAAATCAAAGCATTAAGAGCAAGCTTCAAAATGGAAGTAAGCAAAGACTTACCTTTCCAGTAAGAGCAGACCCAAGTCAAAAAAGAATCCCAAGAATGAGTTCTGAATTTAAGACCAGAAAGAGAGAAGATAGAGTTCCACAAGAAGTCAGCCATAGGACAAAGGAGGAATAAGTGATCCCTAGTTTGTAATGGTTCATCACAAAACATACATTGACAATCATTGATAAGCCCCATACGAAGAAGTCTATCTTTAGTAGGAAGTCGATCAAGTAAAACCATCCAAGAAATTAAGTTATGTTTTGGTATATGGAGAGGAAACCAAATAATTTTCTGTCATATGACAAGGGGTCTTTTTACCCGAATTTCATCCCATATGTTCTTCACTGAAGGAGTAACAACAGACTTAATAGCAAAAGCCTCGTGCCTCAATTTAAATAATTTCCTTAAGCTCCAGCTACTCGAAGGATTAATTTCCTTAAAGGTAAATTACAAGTTTGTTTATTGAATTTTAGTCTCTTATTTCACTTATTACACTTTTAATTTTTTTAATTTAATCATTGAACTTTGACATTGTTCTTGTTTTAGTCACTTTGCCGTGAAGTAATTAGTGACATAACATACGTCACGTCATCAAAACCACCTCATTTTGAACAAACTAAATTTCTACTAAAAGTTGTTTTGCAACTACATAAAACCTAAATTTTCCTTCATTTTCTGTCTTTTTCTTCTTTTTATTTCTCTCATTTTCTTTGAATCTGTTGAAATTTTAGTCACCATTGGAAGCAGCAAGTCACTAAATGTCAAAATTTTTCCCTCGCTCCGTCCATGATTGTGGCCAATAAATGTCAAAAAATTTCTCCAAATTCAATTTATCATCTTGAACGTAAATCTAGTGTTCATTTAACCTAATAATCCCTTAAATTTCATAGATCTAACGTTAAATATTTTATTCTTTTTTATTCTTTGATCTTTGTTGCTCTCCATTGAATAGTCGGTCGTTCATTGTTCAATCGTCATTCTCACTCCTATGTTATACATACATGGCGTCCTCTCTTCTTCTCTATTCCCAGCTTTTCCTTGCTTTGCTTTACTATGTTTTTTGCTCTGCTATGCTATGCTATGCTTTGAGAAACTCCAAGCTCTCATCAATGGTAGATCCAACAACGATCCTTCAAAGACCACAAAATCCCCTAAAGATTTGATTACAAGCTTTACAAAAGGAACGCTATCGATGAGATTTTGGTCCTAAAACTTATTGTATCCCATTAAAGAAACGATGGACGTGGAGGCTTCGATTGAAGATACACAGTGACTGGGAGGGTGAGACCGTGGGAGTGGGGAGTGAGGGTGTAATTTGAGATTAGGATTTAGGAGTAAAATATAAAAATTTATTTTTTATTTCATTTTAAATATTACATATCATTATTAAATATTGATAAAAAAACATATCATCACTATATATTAATAAAATAAGTTAGATGTGCGATCTAAGTCGGTCCAGATTAGTCAGGGCTAAACCTTGGAACTGGAGGGAAACAAAAATAAATAAATAAAATAAGCCATGACATTCTATTGTTAGAGAGAAAATGACCGAATGACAAAAAAAATTTAATCTATAAAATTTAGTGATTAAATTAAAAAAATTGAAAGTACAGTAAGCAAAATAGGATAAAAAGTAAAGTTCAGTGAGAAAACGTGTAGTTTACCCTAGATAATCATAAAGATGTTAAATTATTAATTAATAATTATTACTAATTTACTAATCTATTAATTTTTTAATAAATAGTAAGAAAATATTAAATTATTAATTAATAATTATTAATTTAACTAACAAATCCTAATTACCCTACTAAAAAATTTTAACGAGCTTTATGAACAACGAGTCGAATAACAATCTTTTTTAATGAACATGAAGTAACATTGCTTAACTTGCGATCGACTAGTTCGCTAAACCTCCAATTCATGTAGTAATTTCCCAACCACGATGCAATGAACCTTAGTACTTTATTTGATACAATGAATCTTTTCTTCGGAACAGCTTTTTTTATTGTTGAAAATGAGATTTAGGTCATATTGGACTTTAAACACCAATGTTGTAAGTGCACGTACATAACAAAGGAAACTTTAGCCATCCTTGTATTCTATGTAGCACGTGAAAGTGATTCTACACGCGAAAACATCTTCTAACTATGATTCTTTTACTTATGGGTAAAAAAATGCTGTTAGGAGCAGTCCATCAGGTATGACAATCTTTCACTGCAGAATTTTGTAAAAACTATACCACCAACAACAAAACCCTATTCTTATGTATAATGAGATAAGAGGAGATAGGGTAGTAGGCTGCCCCTAACGTCAGAATTTTGTAAAAACTAGAATGCTTTATTTGACATTAACCTCAACAACCACATTTCAGTGAATGTTTCTTCAAACAACCACCAACTAATAATAAAGAAAATTTCATATCATCACTTTAACAACATCGACTGATGATGTAATTTAAATTTATTAACAATATTACAAGAGTAGAGGAATCAATGCCAAATTAATTAAGAAATTAAATTTTGAATCTATGCATAATAGAGGGACTGAAACCATAATTAAATATAAACGCCATAATTAGGTGAGAAAATAAAAGAGAGAGAAGCGTCTGTTTCCTTAAACAATGCCAGGCTAACCAAATCGAAAAGCATTTTCAATATTCTCTATCTTGGTCCCCATAGATTACACACTAATAGATTATACATATATTAGCCCTAAAGTTATTATTATTTTTACTTTACTCCCTGAAGAAATTCTTTCATTAGTTTATGTCTGAATTTGTAAAAGCTTATCACCGTTAGTCTAATGTATTTCTCAAATTTGGGGACCAATTTGCATACACATCAAACTTTTGGTTTTTATTTCTTATTATTTTCCATCTCTCAATCTAAAAGTAATACCATTTGTTTGTGTGGGTGAAAACGAGGTGATGCAAGCAAAAGGAAAAAGAAAACTTTCTTATAATGGAAGTGGGAAAGGCATTTGATTTCAAGAGGCTGTCTCCCCAAGTGGAAACACCACCATTCAATGTGGTCCTTCAATTTTTTTTTATTTTTTTTATTTGCCCTTTCCATCATATGTATTGTATATAAAAATTTCTTTTCTCTTATCATAATAAATTTGTTTATAAAGTTAAATTCATATGTTGGTAAGGGCGGACACATGATTTTATGTTAGGGGTGAACTTGAATTTATAAAATTTTAGGGAGGCAAACATAAACTTATAGAATTTTAGGGGGCGAAAACAAATTTTCAAGAAAAAATACATAGATAAAATCTAAAATATATAGTACTTTTAACTTTTTAGGGGACGATCACCCCCACCTAGGTCCATCGTTGTATGTTGGTCTATTTGAAATCAATTCAATTTTAAACTAACAGAAAGGCACAAGTGGTTGAGATTCAGAATTTGAGCTTGTAAGGCTAAGTTCGAATCCTACGATCGTCACTCTTGGTGAACAATCAGCAAATTCCTATGTAAATCCCAATTGGGTCTTAAGTATGCCCTGTCCCCTAGACTAGGAGAGTCACCATTGACCTAAACTTTTATTCAATCGATGACACCCCCAAATTCAAAAAAAAATAATTCTTCATTTCAATAAACACGTTCTCCACCTCTTTCACAACACCCTTTAAAAGGGGTAATATTTAATAATGGACACCGAGTGTTTGGCTTTGCTCACAACAATGTC